AACATCGACCAGACTACACAGCGCAACAACCCAGAAGACAGACTTGTTCCTTGTCATGTACCAGTGTTTTACACGTAGGTAAGAGTCGATATTAAAGCTAATTAGGAATTTTATTAGACTAAAATAAACCAAAATTAAATCTGTCTTTAGCTTTTAGTGTGGTTCCCTCTTAAGTAGTTTGGAAGATGATATAATATTGTTTTAAGACAATGGCTCTCTCATACGATGTCCGGTGTCCCCTAATTAATTAAGTAATAGTACTTATTACTTTGCTTACGTATTACGCCTACTTATAAGTGGTGCTGATTAGTTTACTTACTGTCGGCACTGAAGGAGCTTGGCTAGAATGCGCCATATTGTGGCTCATCTAGGAAGATATGTCACTTTCCTCCGAACAGGAAACCTATAACAGAAATAACAGAACACTTCAGCCCATTTTGCATCGCGTTATTGTTTCACTGTAATGGAATTCCCTCGTGTAGATTTTATGCACCGTCAAAGAGACAGCGTGGCGCACGAGACCATGTAGTCTGATAGACATTTACCGACGTTTCAGAGGTTCTTGGCATCTCTATCATCAGGATGATTATACTGATGATGAAGGCAGTAAGCACCTCTGTGATGTCACAAATATTTTATCAGTCTACACGAGGCAACATCCCAGAAGACAGTCAACTTCAACTGTTTGTTTACATTTTCTGGAACACGCTAACAGAAACACTTTTGCCCTTTGGATCATAAAATAATCGATCGATGTGTTATCGAATCTGTCTTGTGAAATATGCGAATGTTTGTATTTTGTTAGAAAAAGCATTTCTGTTAATATCGCGAAATAACACAAGGTTATCAGCCACAACCACGTTTTATAGTTTAACCAGCAGTTGGTTCCAGATACATTATGATACATAATGAAACACTGTATTTTAATAATAAGTTGAACATAAAATATATCACTCACTGACTCACACTATTTCGAAGGAAATTATTTGAAAAGTTGATTGTATTCTCGGCTTGTCAAAGAACAGCGAATATATAAAAATGGATGTTGTTGTAATATTATAACTTTGTCGATAAAATTGAGCATGTTTTCTTTTAAAATAATAAGATTTACAACCTAAGACGATTACACGGTAAGAAGTGAGTTTATTTTACCCCAGAAGATAAAGTATTGAAGACTGAATTATTTTAATTTGTAGCTTAAATGCGTCATGTTTGTGTTGATCAAATACATATAAGTATATATTTATTTTCACAGTCTATACACAAACATTGTAATTAAATGATGTTGTTAAAATTATATAATATTAAAACATTATGTAGTATAAAATATAATATTTTATACTACATAAATTACATTTATTATCAAGACAAAATATTATATTTTATACTACATAATGTTTTAATATTATATAATTTTAACAACATCATTTAATTACAATGTTTGTGTATAGACTGTGAAAATAAATATATATTTGAATTATTTTGTCTTGATAATAAATGTAATTTATGTAGTATAAAATATTATATTTTATACTACATAATGTTTTAATATTATATAATTTTAACAACATCATTTAATTACAATGTTTGTGTATAGACTGTGAAAATAAATATATATTTGAATTATTTTGTCTTGATAATAAATGTAATTTATGTAGTATAAAATATTATATTTTATACTACATAATGTTTTAATATTATATAATTTTAACAACATCATTTAATTACAATGTTTGTGTATAGACTGTGAAAATAAATATATATTTGAATTATTTTGTCTTGATAATAAATGTAATTTCAGTTCTAGTCTGCTTCATTAATAAATGAGCAACCCGAGTAGAAACTTCACAAAGCTCATTAAACGTTTTATGTTAACTCCAGAACACAGATGAAATCGACGAGGATGTAAGGGGAACTGAACTACGCTATAGATTGAAAAAATTCCGCCATACAAGGGAAAATTACAGATGTAATAACCGACAGTAAGCAGACGGTTAATATTCAAATACAAATATCGTGCTCCATTTTGATTACAGAAATAATATGTAACTAGGACACCGAGGATTTCTGTTGAAACTCATCTCAACTCAGAAATCTCTACAAAGAAGGAAATTATTCTTGCAGTATAATCGTTGACGCAGCCATCCGTTGTCTGTCTGTCTGTGTTCCAGTATTCTGAAACAGCCCGGAGCCTGTCTGTTTCAGACATCTTACAGCAGAATCCATACTGAAAAGCCGAATAGTCGCTCGGCGAAAATAGAAAATGTCCCGTCTTTTATGGAATCAGTAAATTCTTAAGAGTCCGCTAATAGACTCTACTTTGGGCCATATTAATTCCGTCCATATCCTCCTACACTATCGTTACTTCACAGGACACTGACAAGCAGTCCTTTGTTTTTTTATTTATTTTATTTGTAGTGTTCTGTCTGACGACAGGTCCATATGAACAGGATCCTTCCATCCTTTTCTCGGACTGGGACCTGCGTGGCCATCATTTATTTATTTCGTGTTCTGTCTGACGACAGGTCCATCTGAACAGGATCCTTCCATCCTTTTTCTCGGACTGGGACCTGTTCATATATGTTCTTGGCAGATGATCCAGAAGTGGTTTGGCATTGCCTTCTTCTGTGTGTGAATGGAGTAATTGTTGGGATGCCACGGAGGAAAACTCCGTGTTGCCTAGACCACGGCCTTGCCCAACACAAGTTATAAATTTGAGCACCACCGGGACCCCAGGATTACAAGGCCAGCGTTCTAACCGCTAGACCTGTAAAATAATACTCGAGCATTGTTAAACCGTATTGTCATCAATACTTCTGAGATGACGCTCTACTAATTGGCTGACTTGTAAAGCAATTGCTGCTAAACAGATCTGAATCTAACTTCAAACGATCCATAAATGGGGAAATTTCGGAGTACGCAAAAATTCGAAGAGTCTGGGAAATTTCAAGTATCGGAAAACGAAGTTAGAAATTAAAAGTCTGCAAAAGTACTCTTCTTAATGTTCAAAATAAATAAGTTCTCTCTGTCTGCGACTCAAATAAATGGAATAGGTATCCCTGACAAGCAGCAGGACGGTTTGTCCGTAAACATCCCCACCTTGAATTTTACTAAATTCCTTATTTACTTCACGTATTAGACACTACGACTGGATCTGAGTTGTCACAGTTCAGATAATTAGTTTGGTATGTATTTGTAAATTAGTTTTAATCAGATTCAATGCCGCAGTGAACGATAAATTAGTCACACTTGCTATATTAACCTTCAGACCGACGAAGATTCCCCCACATTTACCTATCTGCATAATATCTTAATCTCTTGAACCATTGAACGTTCGGATACTTAATATGGGCAGTCACAGAGGGAATGAGGAAAATCACGAGAGCTTCAGCCAGGAAGCCTGATAGTTTGGCCGCGGTTCGAACCGAGTGCCTTCCGAATGCGAAGCACGAGCAATATACTTCAACGCTCTGTCGGCAGACGTTGGTGCTGTAACCAGAGAGAGGCTGTTAGTTTGTTACCTAGACACGTAAATGATTAGGCATGTTGGTAGTGTACTTAAGCAGTAATGCATCATTGTACCGTACATATTTCATATTTTCATAACTTGGCAGGGGAGACTAGCATAAAATGACATAGTTTTCTTTTCGATACATCTCTCTTATCGATAAATATAGTCCTCGATTAATTTTAGATTTTGCGCCGTTTGGTTGATCAAGTTGGTACTCAACTCCAGTGAAAGATGGCGTCAAGACAAACCGCGGTTCTCGAGATTTCTGTGCAAAAGTTTGTTTTCTGGTGTTTCTCCTGGTGTTTCATCGTCACATTTTATAACCGCTGGCAGCTTAAGATTTGTGATACCTTTATTCAAACATATATCCAGTGGAGACTTAGAAAGTAAGTCATAATTAATACTAATTGCCTCTATCAGTGTTTCTTGTGTGTTTAGATTGTAGACTGGACACAAGTGCAGCCAACTTCATGCTAAATAACTTACTAGTTCTGTTTGCGAACTCTGTGCACAGACTAATCGCACAGAATATTTCCCTTTGTTAGTTGATATGTTTACTTGCTAACGCTAGATTTAGTACGTTCAGACTTTATAATGAAAAAGCTAACTTTACCTGTATTTTTAACTGGGTCACATGGCGTCACAAACCAGTATATCACAATCGACTTCGCCCTAAGAACTATAACAGTATTCAGATTTTGATTTTATAATACTATTCACACTGTTACGACTTCTCTTCTCATTGTTTTTGTGCATTTCTTCTGACCCCCCCCCACCCCCCACCCCGAACTACATGCCTAACGGTTCTCGTTCTTAATTTTAATCACATTAGCGATACTTCACGATCAATGCAAATTATGAAGCTCCGTAATAAAACCTTGACCATTTCCTGTAAGGAACAGATATGCTGAATATTTTATATAAAACACCTTTCAATGTGTTTAAAGTTGACGTAACATCGTGAAGCGAACAAAGGTTAACGGCTGGCGCATTCTGGCGGCGCATTACTTACCGGGTTGAGCCAGTACCAGAAGCAGCGTGCTACTACCGAAGGTCGTCTAGGATCCCAGTACTTACCTGGTCGTTCGTGGGGAAATGAGTGGCGATGGTGGGGCAGGGAAGATCACGATAAACACAATCCCACGTGTCGAACGTCAAAATAGTTCAGTTCTCTCATTCATAAAGGAATTTCACAGTCGTAACATTTCACATGTGACGTTTAAGAAAATATTCCGTTTAATTTTAAAAGTGTGTAATGTACACATGTCACTGGTTTGTAAAATTGTGGTCTTCATTTGTTAAGGCACAACCTGATGGCGTGGCATGTTTGAATGTCAGTCATGGAATGTTTTTTCCTCAGATTTTTCTCTGTCCATCTAACACAAGTGATTGGTACGTAAATTGAAGGTCGCTGATGCCCCTGGTTCTCCCTACTTTAATGTCAACCTCCCCTTTAACGTGGTAAACACCGGGTATTAAGGCTTTGACCGGGATGTTCTTTTGTTAAATCTTATGTGGTACCGCCTGATTCGACTTCTAATGGTTAAGTGAAGTGTTTTCTTCGCGGTACGGTCTGGATTCGTAAATATTATGAAGACGAGCTTCGGCTTCAAAGGGTTAACAAGCTGATTTTCGTAATGGTGAGGTGTAGTGTTTTCTTCGCGGTACGGACTGAATTCATAAATAATATTCAGACGATCTTCGGCTTCGAAGGGTTAAAGACGAGATTCCGACACCGAGTCATGACCGTGTAACTATTATAACCTTACTTTTATCTATCTCACACACAAACATAACATTTCTGGCATATTAAATTATTTCAAGATGTCTGACAGTATGGAGAAGATTCTGCTACCAAAATGTAGGTTATGTTCGATTTAAGGATAATTTTA